ACACAAAAGGCTTAGCTAACCAAATTCGCTAACTTTATAATCAGACGTCCTCTAGAGTAACATAAGTGGCGTTTTGTATACTGCTGAAATCATTTATTAATCTGTTAACAAATGTTCTAGTCACCAAGCTATGCGCCCATCACGTGATGTGAAATTTCTCCCACCCTACAAAAGAAACAACAACAAAAACAACGTCTACAAAACTCCAGGTATTTTAACAAATTTGACACACACAAAAAAAAAAATACAATGAATTAAAGTATATTTTGTTATTTATATTTCTACACACACACATACACACATTTATATATCCAGGGCCGCTGATAAGCTTTCACGGGCGCTAGGGAGGGATGAGCCCCCCTCCCTCTTTCAATCAGTTTCTTCTCTGCCTTCTCCAGGGCCATAAGTTACTAAGTTTTAATTTGTTAGGTTTGTTTGAAGTTAAGCACAAAGCTACACAATGGGATATCTGTGCTCTGCCCACCACGGGTATCGAAACCCGGTTTCTAGCGTTGTAAGTCCGCAGACATACTGCTGTGCCACTAGGGGCAATTCGTTAGGAACAACATTTATTTATTCAGTTATAGCCCCAAGACTGTAAACATGTAACTACTTAACCAGTTAGTTACTAAGTATTAATTTGTTAAGAACAGCATTTATTTATTCAGTTATAGCCCCAAGACTGTAAATATGTAACTACTTAACCAGTTAATTACTAAGTATTAATTTGTTAAGAACAACATTTATTTATTCAGTTATAGCCCCAAGACTGTAAACATGTAACTACTTAACCAGTTAATTACTAAGTTATAATTCGTTAGGAACAACATATATTTATTCAGTTATAGCCCCAAGACTGTAAATATGTAACTACTTAACCAGTTAATTACTAAGTATTAATTTGTTAGGAACAACATTTATTTATTCAGTTATAGCCCCAAGACTGTAAACATGTAACTACTTAACTAGTTAATTACTAAGTATTAATTTGTTAGGAACTACATTTATTTATTCAGTTATAGCCCCCAAGACTGTAAATATTTAACTACTTAACCAGTTAATTACTAAGTATTAATTTGTTAAGAACAACATTTATTTATTCAGTTATAGCCCCAAGACTGTAAACATGTAACTACTTAACCAGTTAATTACTAAGTATTAATTTGTTAGGAATAACATGTATTTTCCCGAATGAAACTAATTCACCTTAACTTATGCGATAAATTTGCCAACTTTTCTGGTTGATTAAATAATCAGATGTTTCTTTAATGCCTAACTGGTAGTTCATGAAGGAACCAGACTTACTTGTTTTTCCAAATGGTATAAGTTGTAATTGTCTTCAAAGATTTCGAGACAAATTTTCAAATTCGCGAAGTTTCTCACTACGATGTTAGCTTATAGACGAATCAACTGTTACGGTCCTGCTTTTACTGCATACACACCAGTTATACGTTCAACTCTAGTATGACAACAGAACGCTAGAGGTCTGATTTATAAAGACGTTGACGCGCGTAATATGTTCGTAATATTTTTGCACTCTGTTCTTGACGTCACTTAAATGTGTTTTTTTTTTTTCATTCACTAATGCGTTAATGCCATTTTCGGAGTATATACCAGATAGGTGAGAAAGAAAGGAAAACATATGTAAGTTTTAGAAGTTCCATCAGAGAGTTGAGTAGTTGAAAACACAACTAAAAGGGCGTGACGATTTTTTTTATCTTCCAGTTACAGTGATTAGTACATTACTTTTAGGGCTCGACCAGACTTTCAAAATCACATCAAATACTTCCACCCGACTTTGTGTGTGTTTGTATAAATTCGTGTAACTTGTCTCAAAGCAT